ATATTTATATATATATATATTTTTTTTTTTTCTCCAAAACAAAAAGGAACAACAGAAAAAACAAACCAACAAGTCACATCTCCAAGAATTAGTGTGGCCCCTACAGGACTACGGGGGAGACAGGCACTGGGGAGAGGGTCCAGCCACGCATCCAGGGAGCCTCGGGGATGGGGCGGCTGCAGGCATGGCCACCACACTGGCCTTTCCGGAACGCTGACCAGAAGCGAGGGCGTCTCTGACAAGTGCATGTCCTGCAAGACTGCTGTCCTCCTTTATCTCCCCCTGAGCAGCGAGGGAGCCGGAATGCCTCCTCTCTCTCCATTCAGGGTGGTCTTGGTGGCCAACATCGGGCTGGCACACTGAAAGATCCTGTAAAGATCACGTTTTAAATGCAAAATTTTCCAAAGCCAGACCAGTCTGGACTTGCTCGCTGCCTGCATTTTTGGTTAGAGAAAGGCCGGCCGGTCCTCGGAGACAGCAGCAGCAGCAGAGCCGGGGCAGAAGCTTCTGCCTGCAGAGGGACCTACCTGGCTGGCGACACAGAGACTGAGGCCTGTCGGGCCTCCCTCCACCAGGCCCAGAGGAGCTGCATGGATCCCCACTGCTCTCCGTGGCTCTGTCTTAGATTCCAGTCCCAGGTCTCCCCGTGTGGGGTGACTGCAGCCCCCTGTGCTCTTCCAAAGCCAGTGCCACGGGTCCCGGACATGTAGCCCACCTGGCCACAGCCCACACCGGCTGCCCTGACCTGAGGTAGGACTGGCGCGGAGCCTAAGCCAGCAGATACCGGGTTCACCAGCAGGCCGGGGCTGGGGGTTCTGCGCATGCTGCCGGGGCTCTGCTCCGGGGAAAACTCCAGGGTTCTGCGGGGGAAACAAAGATGCGGCCGCCACAGCCAGAGAAGACAGGGAGGCACCGCCGGCTCCCTCTGGCCACTTAAGTACAAAACTCAAGCGAAACTCAGGCCACAGTGTGGATACAGGAGCAGGGGCAGCCGCCGAGCTGGGTCCAGTCCTGGTCAGCAGTGGTGAGGAGCCAGGAAACCACAAGCAGCTTCGGGGGGCGGGAAACATGCAGGGTGCATCCCTCCGTGTCCTCCGCCAGCCAGCGCAGCCACTGCCGCCCCGCGTCACTCTGAAAGAGAGAGCAGAGGTCTTTGGAGCCCAACTGACACCCGACAGGCAGAGGATTCTGCCCTCGTGCAGCTGGGTCACAGAGCAGCCAGGGCCCAGAGCTGCTGCCTGGCCCACCAAGCTCCCCGCTCCACATGGGCACCTGAGGGTGAGCAGAAGCCACTGGGGCCCGCGTGCCCCGCAGGCTGTGTGTGCACGTGCATGTGTGTGCACTCACGTACGCTCTCCACGGGAGGGACAAGCAAGCGAGGCAGGAGCTCAGGAAGCCAAGCTTCTGCCCTCAAAGTACTCTCCCACAACCAGGCCCTGGGGCCACGCCAGCCAGCCAGCCAGCCAGCAGTCTGAGAGGCTGAGGCAGGAGGAGCCTGAGCAACTGAGTGACTTATGGTGACCTTGTCTCAAGACAAAAAACTTAAAAAGGGCTGGCAGCGCTGCTCAGCTCCCCATGGCTTCAAAGCCCAGCACCGCCAAAATATAAAGAGAGAAGAGGTGGGGCCTGCGGGATCACCTGTGCTCTTCCGGGTTCAGAGACTGGCAGTGGTGCCACGCCCTCTGCACTGCTCCCGTGCCCCCTCTGCACCCCCCTTCTGCCCACAGCCTCCACCCCCGACCGCTGCCCCACATGCGCCTTGCCCAGCATATTTTCCTTCGTGTTCAGGGCAAGGACAGAACTACCCAGAAGAGTTTCATACCGTGTTGCTTTCTACAAAACTGTGCAGCTTCCTCACCAGAATGCAGCCGTGTGACCACCACCGAGGCCCTGGGCAGCTGTTTCCCCTAGTGCAACACCGGCCGCTCCTCTAATGTCCAGGGGGACCCCAGCCTGCACTCGACGCATCCCCGGTTCCTACCCTCTTCTGTCCAAGGACAGAAAGATCAGCGAGAGATGCTCAGTGCCCCCACAAAGTGCTCTTGGCGGGGACCCAGCCCGTGTCACTGTGCTGCAGTGCACCCCCTTCAGAGAGACAGCGGAAGGAAGGGATGGAAAGGGGCACACAGAAGGAGGGAGGAGGGAGGAGGGAGACAGAGGAAGGGAAGACGGAAGGAGGGAGGGCGGAGGAAAGGAGGAAGGGGAGCAAGAGAGGGAGGACGGAGGGGGACAGGGAAAAGAAGACAGCAGGGGAGGAGGGAGGGGGCAGGAGGAAGGGGAAGACCAGTCACAGCGGGGCTTCACTACCAAGCAGGCGGCAGTGTCCCTGGGCTGCGTGAACACTGAGGCCCAGGGCCCTGCGATCGGGCCCAGGCCGGTAAACCACCCTTCGGCTGCCACCTGCTCACCGCAACTCCCCTTCCTGTGAAGCTGGGCCGGGCCTTTCGGCTCCCAGGTCCATTTCAGGGTCAGGGCCCCTGGACCCTGCTCTGGTTCTGTCTGGAGGAGCCGGGAGGGGGAGGTGTGCACAGCGACAGCCTCAGGCCCAAAGCGGCCCTGCTGTCAATGCGATCACACACAGTGAAGCCCTGTGCTTCGGAGGGACAGTTATTCCCAGAACCAAATGCAATCGGTAAAGAAACAAACTTTCCTGTGAGCACAAACACAACTTTCTGCCCAGGTTGCTGCTCAGTTTAGAATTTTCGGGGTCAACATAGGATTAGGGGAGAAAATAAACTTTTCAGCTACAGGACAATTCCTAGAAATAGGCGTGAGGATTCAGTATCTCCTTGCTTTACAAAAAGCAAAACACTCTAAGAATGAAAACAAGAAGAGTAAGGCAGGGTGTGATAACAAAGAAGCCAGAGATTCTAAGAAAAACAGTTACTTTAACTTCCTTTTAAATTGGAAAAAAATCGCTTAAAAGGGAAATTTGGGTAAGGCCCTGGTGACAATGGGGACAGAGGCCCCACTGCGGGCTGCGCTCACGGGACAGCAGCCTGGGCGCGGCCCTGGCGCCTGGCTTCCCCAGAGGCCACAGTGAGCACCAGCCCTTCTCTAAGGCCGGCTGCTCCTCCTGCAAAGGACCCCGGGGCACCGCACACAACACCCGCTAGACCGACGCGGTGCGTCACACAGCTACTGTCCTACAACAAGGACCCCCCACCGCCTTTTCTCTTTAAATACCATTATCCTGCACATTTCAGGTTTCCAACAGAATGCGACCGGATAGCACCGAGTAATACGGTTACCATGGTGAAGCACACGACCATATCTGTCATCTCACAGCTACATTTTTGTTACAAGCAGCCAGAATCTACTTAGCTACCCCAAATCCCTAACCCAGTACAACTTCACCTCTGTGATAACCCCAATGCATCCCTCCTGCGTCTGACACTTCCTGTCCCCCTGCCGACCTCCTCAACCAGGTAACCAGGGTTTGGCTCCTCCTTTCTGCGTTTCTGACCTTTTATTGCCTAGATCCTATTCATTTGCCTTTATTTCCCCAGAAATCCCACACAATGCTAGTGAAGTCCTTCATCAAGCTAAGCTGAATTTAACTGAAATAAAAACCTCTTGTGGTTTATGCCATTTCTCAAAAGCTAAACACAATTTTCTAAAGGAAAACAAAACCTTGGGACCTTCTGAGACCCAGAGGAAAAGAAAGCTCTTCCCTCATTCAGGACAGTGACAGTCTAAGGTGGAAGGGGATAGGGCAATGTAGCCAGGTCTGGCCCGCTGCTGCTTCTGCAAATAAAGTTTTACTGGAACACAGTTTTGTCCACTCAGGGACATGGCCACGTCCACTTCACACAGCACCGGGTGGCTATGACAGACGCCTTGTAGCAATGGAGCCCAGGATACTTGCTACCCAATCCTTTGCAGAACAAGCTAGCCAAGCCTTGTTCTAAGGCACACGCAGACACAACAACCTCCAGAGAAGCCTGCAAGAAGGGCGCAGACCTGCCAGAGAACGCTACGCGCCTCCACCCATGCCCAGACCCTGGCTGGATGATGGCCCTTTGGAAATTCTGAGGGCTAACACTTTACGAACAACACTGTCTGAAAGGCCAGGCAAGCCCGATTCGGTCCTACTCAATACCAGGAGGCCAGCTGTGCCAGCATTTGGAATTAATTTTTACCTGCGGTCCTTCTGCAGGGCACAGAAGTCCTGAGGAAATCTGAGTGTCGCTCAGCATACTCGACACTAGAACCCTCCACTTTACCAGGATTAAAAAAAAAGCCACACACATCAAATCCAAAAGTCACAAGTGCCCAAATCTTTTCTCTGAATCATCTGGAAACTGAATTCAAGCACTGTGCTTCTGCCCTAACAGGAGCCCCCTCAGCCCAGGAACAACAATTTGCATGAAAACTGCTAATATCCTATAAGCAGTGATTCTTTCCTCAGATTTAACACGTTATTGTATGTGTGATTTTTGCAGATCTGAAAAACACGTACTTTATCCTCCACTATAAAAAGTTTACATCCGAAGTCAGAAACCTTGTTTTACACTTTCCATGCCAAGCTAAGGAAATGTAGAGCAGTGTACAAAACACATCCACCTCCAAGCAGCCTGCCTCACAGATCAGGGCAACTGGAACGCTCCACGGGTGGGCTCCGCACCCCACACAGCAGCCACCTCAAGCCCATACCACTCCCCAGGCGCTCAGAAGGGGCCCCACGAAGCTGTGTCCATGCCTTCACCCACCCGCCAGCCCCATGGCCCCGGGACGCACTGGAGCGGAACCGTCACCAGCAATGTGACCACTCAGCTACAGTGAGGGGCTCCCCCAGGATACGGTGACAGGTCCTCCTTTCCCCAGGACTCACCAGTGGGGTCACAGTGACACCATCCAGGGAGTTTTATAGGAGGTGCGACTGAAACATGGTGAATGTTTAGATTTTAAAATGCGTTACAGTGAAAGATTCACCGCCACGAATCCCTCGCCACCTCCCACCCCGCCTTGCTTTGCACACGCTCATCCCATGGTCCTCACCACTTCCTGCAGCAGCTCTGGAGCCCTCTCTCCTGAGGGTCAGTAGCTGCACTGTCCTGGCTGCCTCCACGTCCTGAATGGATTCCAAATGTTTCCCTCTCGTGGTCATTTTGACCTTGGGAAGAGCTGGAAGTCGCCTGGTGCCAGATCTGGTAAATAAGGTGCACAAGGACACAGCATCAAGACTCCACGAGCTGCCTTTCTGAGGACAGTACTTGGCGGCGGCAGGCACTGTATTTTTCATCACGCCTGGGAGAGACTCAGGAGAGGACTCTGGAGCTGCTGCAGGAAGTGGTAAGGACGACGGCTGTGTGTGGAGTGACGGAGGGATTCTGACAGTAACAGCACTGTGAAAACCATCTATCACTACAAACGTGTGAGCATCCTTCACGCACGCAGCAGCACACGGCACTGGCCTGACACGCCCCGCAGCGGTTCCCACTCTGACACACGTCCCAGTGCTGCCACCTGAACTCTGAAGGCTTCTCCCACCAGGCGGGCCAGAGCAGGGAGAAGCCGACATCCACTGCCCGGTCTCAGGGCCTGCACCCTCCTCGTCCACAACAAGACCCCCAGGCACACTGGGAGCCGCTCCTGGCCCTGGAGCCACAGGGTCTGTGCTCAGCCGCCCCCTCAGCCCGGAGAGACAGGGTCCAATGCCCAGAGCAGGGCTGCCCGAGTGGCCTCCAGGACACAGGCCACGCCACACCATGCCATAGATCATGAGCTCTTTTGTGGTGTGGGGACTGAACTTGGAGCCTCAGCACTGAGCTACAACCTCAGCTGTTTTTTTAAAACAATGTCTCACTAAAGTTGCCTGGGCAAGGATTGAACTCACTCACTTCCAATCCTCCTGCCTCAGCGTCCCAGAGTGCTGGATCACTGGAGTGTGCCCCTATGCCCACCTCAAACTCCCTAGCTCTCCCAGTAATTTCGCTCAGAGACGGAAAGCTGGCCGAGTCACAAAACTCTTCACGTGAAGAGCTTTTGTTTTTATACTTCTACCTGCAACAAAAGGCTGCACCTTCATCCCTTCCTCACCTCAGACCTCACTGTCAGCCCAGGGGTCTCCTCTCACATGGACACAAATGGGGCAACTCCTGCCCCAGGCCCTTTGCGTGACCTTGCAC